GAGCCCCGGCTATTTTTTAGAGACTGGATCTCCCTCTTTCTCAAGTTCGTCTTGAACTCCTGAGCTTAAGCAATCCACCCACCTTGGCCTCCCAAGTCCTGGGATTACAGGTGTGAGCCACCATGCCTGGTGCTTACACGTTTTCTTGGCTAATAGCTTTATCATGTTAAAAATTTCTATGAATGAATATGATATGGATTTCCTTGTATAGATCATTTCTTATGTTCTTTAGATGGATTTAAATTTTTTCTCAGATCTAGTACATTTCTTGTTTATTCCTAGCTGTTTTATCTCTTTGGTTGCTATTTTGATGAGGTCTAGTTTATGTATACGAAACTTAACAGTTGGATGTGTATATTGTTCATTTTGTCAGTAGGGGGCACCTTGTCATCTATAGCTGAACTTTCTTGGCTGACAAATTTGTTAGCTTAAAGGAAGCTAATTGTGGACAATTGTGGACCTCCCTTCTAATTGTGGACATAGGTTTTTCCCTAAGCTGACCACAGAAAACCTCAGGGACTATTTTTCCAGTTGGACCCTGTTTTGATCACATATACCTCCCCTATGATTTAATTCCATAGCATGAAGACAGTTTTGTGGTGGGCACAGCCGAGGGCACAGTATTTCATTTTCAGCTGGTCCCTGTGACTTCAAACAGCAGTGAGAAGCAGTGGGTGCGGACAAAACCATTCCAGCATCACACTCATGATGTGCGTGCTGTGGCCCACAGCCCAACAGCTCTGATCTCTGGAGGTGAGTTACACTCCTGGTAAGGCCGCCTCCATTCTGTCCATCTCTAGTTATTTTCATTCAGGACTTCTAATTCTGCATACCTTCTCCCCTTCTCTCTGCCCCAGGCACTGACACCCATTTAGTTATTCGTCCTCTCATGGAGAAGATAGAGGTAAAGAACTATGACGCTGCTCTCCGAAAAATCACCTTTCCCCATGTAAGTATTATCCCCCATCCCCCTGCCAACCCCTCATCCCCTATCCCACTGTCCCTCTGTCCCAGGAGATGCTGAGCACAGGTCATGGTTGGACACAGCGGCTCACACCTAGGACCATAGCATTCTGAGAGGCCAAGGCGAGTGGATTGCTTAAGCTCAGGAGTTCAAGACCAGCCTGAGCAAGAGTGAGACCCCATCTCTACTAAAAGTAGAAGAACTAGCCAGGCACTGTGCCAGGTGCCTGTAGTCCCAGCTACTCAGCAGGCTGAGGCAGGAGGATCACTTGAACCCAGGAGTTTGAGGTTCCTGTGAGCTGTGATGCCATGACACTCTAGCATAGGCTAACAGAGTGAGACGTTGTCTCAAAAAAAAAAACCCCGGCTCGGCGCCTGTTGCTCAACCGGCTAA